TGGTGTGTGTGTGTTGGTGTGTGTGTTGGTGTGTGTGTTGGTGTGTGTGTTGGTGTGTGTGTGTTGGTGTGTGTGTTGGTGTGTGTGTTGGTGTGTGTGTATTGGTGTGTGTGTTGGTGTGTGTGTTGGTGTGTGTGTGTGTGTTGGTGTGTGTGTGTGTTGGTGTGTGTGTTGGTGTGTGTATGTGTGTGTTAGTGCGTGTGTTTTGGTGTGTGTGTTGGTGTGTGTTGGTGTGTGTGTTGGTGTGTGTGTTGGTGTGTGTGTTGGTATGTGTGTGTGTTGGTGTGTGTGTGTTGGTGTGTGTGTTGGTGTGTGTTGGTGTGTGTTGGTGTGTGTGTTGGTGTGTGTGTGTTGGTGTGTGTGTGTGTTGGTGTGTGTGTTGGTGTGTGTGTGTTGGTGTGTGTGTTGGTGTGTGTGTGTGTTGGTGTGTGTGTGTTGGTGTGTGTGTGTTGGTGTGTGTGTGTTGGTGTGTGTGTGTTGGTGTGTGTGTGTTGGTGTGTGTGTGTTGGTGTGTGTGTTGGTGTGTGTGTGTTGGTGTGTGTTGGTGTGTGTGTGTTGGTGTGTGTGCGTTGGTGTGTGTGTGTGTTGGTGTGTGTGTTGGTGTGTGTGTGTGTTGGTGTGTGTGTGTTGGTGTGTGTGTTGGTGTGTGTGTGTTGGTGTGTGTGTGTTGGTGTGTGTGTTGGTGTGTGTGTGTTGGTGTGTGGTGTGTTGGTGTGTGTGTTGGTGTGTGTGTGTTGGTGTGTGTGTGTGTTGGTGTGTGTGTGTTGGTGTGTGTGTTGGTGTGTGTGTTGGTGTGTGTGTGTGTGTGTTGGTGTGTGCGTTGGTGTGTGTGTGTTGGTGTGTGTGTTGGTGTGTGTGTGTTGGTGTGTGTGTGTGTGTTTTACGATCCTATGCTATAAACATGATGAACGGGAACGAAATGCTGTACAAGCTGCATCCTTCAGCACTTTGTATAATATGCAGATGGTCCTCAGCAGCCGACCGTCATTTCTTCAGAGTCGTTTTTTCCTTCGAAGTCAACAAAAACATCTTAGAGTTGTACCATTACCTCCCAACATTGCTAAGTATGTTGTTTCTGATATGAACAGTTGAACTACTGAGAAACCAAAATTTGCTTTAACCGCATGTTTCGACTTGCAGTACGTCGAGATTTTCATACCGTGAAAACACCATTGTTCTTGTCGAAAACATGCTTAGCACTATGTAGGGTTAGGTAGTCGGTGCAACTCTGTAATGTTTTCATTGAATTCAAATAAAGAAAAACGATTTGCCAAGGGCCGCATGCATTAACATGCCCGTGGGGGAGGAAGTCGCAGCCTAAAAGGAAGCTTGATATGCGGAAGTTCCAGATATCTGGATTTCACTTCGTATAACCCACCTCAGGTATTCTCAATATCCTTCACTATGAACATATTGAACGGGGGCGAGAAGCTGTACAAGCCGCACTTTCCAGCTTTTTGTGTGATCCCCTGATAATCCCCGGTGATCGACCGTTTTTCTTCGAAGTCATTTTTCCTTCTTCGAAGTTGGCGAAAACCTTTCAAAGTTGTACCGTTTATCTAACATAGCAGTGCTAAGCATGTTGGTGATGAGAACAGATGAGTTCTTGGAGAATCGAATTACTTGATAAACCCCAACTTTCGACCTGTGGCTCACCGCAAATTTCATGACGCGAAAACATCATGTGTTCTTATCAGCAACATGCTTTGCACTGTCGGCTTAGATAATCTGTACAACTTTAGAAACTCTTCGTTAACTCCAAAAAAATGACTGCGAAGTGGCCGCCGGGGATCACCAGGTGATCATTCAAAAGGCTAGAATATGTGGTTTGTACAGCTTCTCGCTCCTGTTTAGTATGTTCATAATGAAAGTTGGTAGGAATACTTACGAGTATTTAGACAGCGTGAAATCCAGAAGTTCAGAGCTTCAAGAAATGAAGTTTTTTTTTCAAGCTGCCTTCCCGGTGGGAATGTGAATGCATGCGGCCCTTAGGATGGCCGTCGGGGATCTTTAAGTGATCTCGCTTTCGTTCATTATCTTTAAAGTAACGGGTGATAGAAACATTTGAGACTAAATATACAGTATAAAATCTAGAACTCCACAGCTTCCGATTAATTTCCTTCTTAGCTGCGATCCCCCTCCCCTTTAGCGGGGAATGTTAATGCAATGTTAATGCGACCTAAGTATGAGGGCGACTGGATAAAAGACAGTATTCTGTGCCGCTAGATCCATCGCATGCAGATCCGGCGCCGAACTAATTGAGGCTCGGGTAATGCCGGGGAAGCCAGTTAGCATCAAATAATGCTATGCAAAGCGTTGCTTCTAGCAGCACGGCACGTAAAGTTCATTTTCTTGAGCGGAAGCATAGAAAAATGTGCTGCACAGCCGCATTCAAAATTAAAAGTTTATCATTGCATAAAATAATTGAGCTCGAATCTCGAACATGATGTAAAGATGTACTTTCGCTAAGAAGGGAGCTTTTGAATCGAATGCAAAAAAGCGCTGTTTGGTTTGAATCGAAAACCTATAAGGTTATTTCTTCTTACATTGCTCGACAAATCAGTATAAACTCGTAGCGCTTACTTTATCTTTGCTCAACCTGACCAGTGATAGCTTTCAAGTTACCTATTTGGGTTACAACACTGCAAGAGACTATTTTTGCTTGAAATCAATCAGTGTAACTTTTGAAATTGTTCAGCAATTCATATTAGGTTTGCGAAAACGTTTCTCAGCTTGGCAGCCCCTTTCCGAAAACCTTGGGGCCATGGGCCTGTCAAAAGCTGTTTCCGAGGGCTAACGTCACGCCACTCCATCCCAAACTCGCGTTAATGCCCCCCTCACCTCCTCCTGCCTTCCCACCGAGTTTTTTTAGATCGCTGCTATCAGTTCTTTTATATTCATCGAAATGCAAGCTTATCGTTAAAGGCAGTGGGTCGGCAGAATGAGACCCGTGGCAAAACAAGGTCACAGGGTAGGAGCCCCATAATGGAACTTTGGGCCAAAGGTCGATGTTGTTCTGCCACTAACCCCCGAAATTTCAAAGCGAAAACAGCGCTCATCTCCTGTCATCTCCGAACCCGCGGTCAGAGCGCCAGCCGCAATGCTTTAAGCATGAGGTCCCGCAACGACTCTGCGTCTTCGCCATGACGGGCTTCGCGTTCACTCGTCCATGGGGTGGACGGGTTCGGAGAGGACAGGAGATGAGCGCTGCTTTCGCTTTGAAATTTCGGGGGTTAGAAGTGGCAGAGAAAGATCGAACTTTGGCCCATAGGTTCCATTATGGGGCTCCTACCCTGTGACCTTGTTTTGCCACGGGTCTCATTCTGCTGACCTACTGCCTTTAAGTAAAAACGTAGCGCTGAGAAAAACTTGCAATCTGAATCACATATTTTTAGAGTGGAAAACAATGCATCAAATAAAACTCAGATTTCGTGTTATTGTGCCTATAAAAAAACAAATTTCCAAGGAATTAGTCGTTTAACGTTTGAACAACGGGCTTTTTTGTTTAAAAACTAGCTTCAAAAGCAATGCAGAAGATACACAAATTGAAGTTGCGTTCTCATGCATTCATCACATTGAATGAAAGGCTATAGGTAGTCAATAAGTGTGTCACAGTTGCGGATAATGTCTACGCGGCGACCCTGCCAGGGTTGAGCAAGAGGTCAGGCACAAGTCTTTCCAAAACGACCCCCCCCCCCCCAGTGAAAGCCCCTAAACGACCCCTCTGCTTCACCTCCAGGACCTCAGGCTGTGATAATTCGAAGAGATCAGCCGTTTTTGGGAGGTTCTTGTTTTTTGGAAGTCTGTAGGTCGACTTTCTGCGATTGCACAGCACACGCAACTTGACGGCAAGTTTTGGATTTTGGATAGCCCTACTTTTAGAGCTATAATTCCCACAGGGGTGTATTGTTTGGCTCCAAATTTGCAGTATTGCAAGAAGAGGGTTTGAGTTCAATACTCATAGCAGAAATGGAGCGATTTTTAGATTTTGAAAACAAGTTAATCGGGTCAGGCGCAACCCCTCAAAAGCTCAGGCGGCCTGACCTTTTGTGGGGTTGCGCCTGACCCGATTAACTTTATCATTGAAGAAGCTTTTTTATTCAAGTTTTATGTGAATCGCTAGCACAACCCTCGAAGATTCTATAGTAAGTGTTTGGACTTGATTCGACTTGTTTCGGCCTTGTGGTAATCCGTGGAGTTGAAGCAGTCATGGCGAAAAACGCGCCGGTCGGAATTTTGGCATTATTTCTTACTCCACTATTTGCAAGCGATACAAAGCGCGATTTTTAGCCTAGACTAGAAGGGAACAATACTTTGTCACGAGTACAAAAAAATTGACTTTTCTCACTTTTGAAAACAAGTTAATCATGTTTGAAAATCACGCTTTTTAGTCGTTGAGAAACACTAGATAATGCAGTAAATAATGGTTCGTAGGGCTCATAGAAGTAATTTGACGTGCTCGGAAATGATACCCATTTCACCCAGCATGCTTCCTTGATGAATTTATAATATGTCAAGGTAAAAGATGAAGATTTGAGTTTTGGCCGAAACTTCGATTGTGGAATCAATCAGTATGCTGTTTAAGACCGTTCATTCCTTCAGTACTGGTGAGGTCGCGATATCCACTAAACTAGCGCTTTTCTTCTTCACCTTAATCGTAGTATCTCCTCAATCGAACGAATTCGATTCCTAATCACGACCCCCCCCCCCTCTGTCTTACCCCAGTACGACCCCCCAGGTCGAGCGCGCCTGTTTCCACGCTCAACCCTGGACCCTGCTTACTCGTGCCTTGCCTAGCTATCGCGCACGTATTTGGCATATATCCACTTTTAGCAGCAATGGAGACCTGCTAAAACGTAGTGGAGTTCTCAAAGGTACGTTTGCGAACGCGATGCAAAGCGAGCAAGTCAGCCATGAGGTTACGAACCCGTGAAATTTAAACGCTCTAGCTGAAGAATTTCGAAGCTTGATCGTAAAACCCTAAATTCAGCCTTTTACAGAAGGAAACTACCACTCAAAAAATTATCGTTATGATCTCTGACGGTGATGAAGACCAGTGTAAGAGTCGTCCTCCTATTTGTGGTGATGAAGAACATCGGCGAATTAGATTACATCCTCAAAGGCAGGAAGCAGATTTAGTAAGTTGCACCAAATATTGCCAAGCAGCTATACGGTTTGAGCTCATCATATGGTCGTTCATTATGTATCACAAACGGCTGTGCATGTATAAGGTTGAAAGCTTAGGTTCACGTACCCATCCAGTCTACATCTGCTCAAATCTCTTTTGATATAGGTTTCAAAGTTCAGAGTGAGGAAGAGTCATTACAATGCGTTGAAAAGTTAGTAACGACCTCAGTAGCACCTTAATATTTAGAAACTGATTAAAAAAAGATTTACGAGTAATTTTAGGGTGAGTAGCATTAAAAAAATGCTGTCTTCCGCGCTAGACATTAGTCAACCTAATAATCTAACCTACCGCTTACCAGCTCCTGGATAATAGATAGCATTATCTGGTTAACAAATTGAGTCAATGGGAACCAAAAAGAAAGTTGGTAAACCCGGATAAAATGTGAATTTACTCGAAATAAGAAGTTAGATAAAGATAGATGCACTCGAGATAGAAAGAAACGGTATTAGTAAGCAGAAAAGAACTGTAAGTTCAAAAAGTAACAGGTACTGTGAACAGCTAGCAGGCAAAACAGTACTTCAAAATGTCATTCTACGCTCCTCTCACGTGACAGACATGTTCTGCTCAAAATAGACTAAATATAAAGTTTGATTACTTCAAAGGAAAGGTATTACAAAAGTATGCCCACTGTTTAATCTCCCTTTAAAATAAGTCGTTTGTTCACCAATCAACTGCCATTGCAGAGCCGGTTTCAACTCATTACAGTATGGAGCGAATCATTCATCGCTCTTTATTACTGTAGTTACGGTGGGAACTTCTGGCATATGGCGTTAATGTGAAAAGTTGCCTTATTGAGAAATTTTCAAAAAATCTGAAAACCTGTGTAAGGACTTTTATGAACGCTAAGTTTAATTCAATTTTGTACAAGATGTAAAGCTTTTCAATCGGTGTATCCACATTTTCTAGAAACATCGAAAATAACCGCTGCTACTGCGTGCCTGGAATAACATTTCAACGAACCTATTGTGATAAGATTCAATCTTCATAATTAAAATCAGCAACTCTAACTAGCCCCTATAGTTAGAATCAGCAACTCTAATTAGCATAATGAAGAATTCACAAGCAAAAAGGGCCGTCTATAATCCAAAACCCTCTTCGAAGTTACAATAATCCTATGGAAAGAGATTGGCGATTTTTCCTATTGTAACCTCTTGACAGAAGCCAGCTCTACAAAATTGTAAGATGATGGGCGAACGACTACTTTAAAAGAGAGATAGAAGCGATCAAACAGTGTGAAAAGCAAGGATCTGCATCAAGTTTCGAAAGCTTTGCTTTATCACCTAACTATCGGGTTGCTTCCAAAAGTCTCAGAATTCTGAAAATCAGCGAAAGTTAGACCTGGTAAAAACGAAGAGATGATTTCCAGTAATTATCTCATTATCACTCTTGTAATGAATCACGCTTAGAATGTGGTAGCTGACAAGGGAAGCTACCTAACTTAGCTCGGCATTTTGGCAAGAGACCTACATATTCTGAATTAGCTTCACGCTGATCTCAGATATGTTCTTTCTACCTGCCGCGCACCATTGCAAAGCGAGTTATGGGCTTTTTCCTGCGCGGAATTGGCAAACTCATCGACTCACAGGCATCACGGCATCATCATCTAAGTGCTAACACACCTACGTTAAGCTTCTATTTAATGAGAAAAGATTGAATTTGTGTTATTTCGACATTTCAGCACCCTTTCCTTGCAGATTTTTGCCTACAAGTACCCTATTTTCAGGTGTATAAGCCGCACCCTGTTTGCTCTAAACACGAACACGCCAAAAGACTGGCTGTTACCATGGGGCGCGTTAAGTGAGAACAATGTGCGAGAAAGCGACCGCTTTGCGAGACACATGCGCAGCGGCACGCTTGGGTCTGCTCGCGTTTAGAGCAAAAAGGGTGCGGCTTATACACCTGAAAATAGGGTAGTCTTTCTTCAGTGCATAGTATGTCAATTCTGCGCAGCAACAAGACCATAACTCGCTGTGGAACGGTGCGCGGCAGATAGAATAGCATATTTGGAATCGGCATCGAAAGCTGATCAGAACATAAATATCGCTCGCGAAAAGGCCGAGCTAAGTTAGATAGCTTTCCTTATGAGTAGAAGAAAATCTGCATCAAAAAACAGCTCAAAGCCTGCCTCTACTGTATCGGATTTGCAGATTATTCCAAGAATCGACAAAGATAAAGTGGAAACACTCGCCGAGATGGCGACACGCTCATTTGTCTCCAATCCTGACGGCCCTTCCAGTGTTGCGGTTGACAGTTTGATACGCAAAACACTGTACCGTTTCGCAGAAAAAAATGAGAATTTGAGACCTATGTTCTGAAATCAGGCAACGCAAAAAATGTGCGTAACACGAGAATGCTTTCGAATTATAAGTTGGTCGTCGGCGGCAATGGAGAGTCGAAATTGCGTACGCCACGTTGCCCCGACCTTTACGCTACAGGGACTTATCATCGGTTTCGAAAGTTAGAATGGTCTATTTGAGGTCTCAGATACACCACCTTGGAACTTGCATTAGTAGTTTTTTTTGAGTGTTCCACGCATGGATTCTTTATACGACAATCTTCAGTTTCTTCTGCTTCAGCCGTTCAAACATGTATTTTTTCGAATGAAGTGTTTCATTGAAAATCATGAAGTCTCACAAATTAGCAAATGAGCAAGCTGTGATCTCGCTGGTATAGTAAAAGCCGTTTCGTACAAGTTGAGTTTTTTGAGCCAAATCTCTGTTTTCCACGCAAATTCTTTGAGTTTTGGTAAAAGCCAATTTGGAAAAAATTTTCGCTAAAGAAAGTGTATTTACTTTGGGAACAAGGACCAAGTATAGAATTTTGGTCTTGCTAGCAAAGCTGAAGTAGACGACTGTCAAGGCAGAAGCCGTTTCCTAGCAAAAAAAAACTTTGTTTTCTCAAAGTTTGATGAATTCGATCAAAATTACAATTGAAAAAGTTGAAAACCGCCGAAATGAAGGCAAAGCATGTGAGCTCTAGTCTGTTTGAAAAAGTTAAAGTGAAGGGTTCTTAGCGCGAAAACTCTTTCAAGCAAAAGATCTTGTTTTCTTCAAAATGTTGGTAAATTCTAATGTTAATCGCAACTCCGAAGAAATTTTTACCGCAGGTGCGTTCCTACTACCAGAATGGACACCAAGCATGTAAGCTGTGGTTTCTTTGTAAAGCTAAAGTGAATACTTCCCAAAGCTGAACGTTGTTACAAAAAGTCTTGCATTCTACATCTTTGTTAAGGAAGTAATAGTTTGTTATTATTAAGCTTCGAAAAAAGCAAGTTGTATCTACCATTGTCTCTTTGTTATACGGTATATCGAAAATACATAGAGTAAGTGTGGGTTTACTCAGCTTGATTCTTCAGTTAGCAAGCTTTTCTTGTGAAAAAAAAAGGATGGAAGCGCCGTTAGCAATGAAAACACGCTTTTGAATAACGTGCGTTGCTTAAGCTCGTGGCTGGAAATTATAGTTGAGAACTGCACAGACGAGGGTGAAATATTAGGTTGGCACATAAGTTTCGCAACTTATCTCGTAATTTTGCTCATTTTGACTGTGACGCCTTTTTTTGGGCATAATGTAGGGGTGTTAGGCTACATATATGCGCAAACATTGTGAATTTTGATAGCGATAGCGAAGTAGAGAAAGGTCGCGCATTTTTCGAGAACTCAAAAAGTTAAATTTGAAATTTAAAGGTCGGGTAACCAAAAATAAAGCCGTTCTCACTCTAAACCAAACAAGTCAATCAACTGTACCCAGATTTTTGTTCTTTCTTCTTGAGCCATACACGAGATTGGTAATTGATTTATTCAATTGACGGCTAACGTTTCGGCAGATCGCCTTCGTCAGAGCCTGTACCCAGATTGTTGATAGAAGAATCTCTAATGATCTCTACGGATTCGGCCTAATTTGTTTGATTTAGACTGAGAGCGTCTTTGATTTCAGTTTTCCGACCCTTGTAATCTCAAAGTGACCAGCTAAGCGTAAGCTTTTTCCACTTCGTTATCAGAAATCAATCTGTTTGCGATATCTGTAGCCTACTACCTTATCTGCATTCTGCTTAAAAAAGTTATGGGATAAGTTTCAAAACTTATGTGCCGACCTAATATTTTGTATCTTTAATAATGTACGTTACTTCTTTTCTTTTATCAGTGAATAAATTTAGCTTCTGAAACATGGTTTGGCTTATTCTATTTTTTCACTATCATCAGGGCTCGGCAGGAGGGTGCATTCTGGATTGAAAACGATGACCGCTTTGACATATTCAAAATTCTTACTTCTTTTGATGACTTTCTTGTGAAAACACATATGATCATATGATGAAGGGCCCACCCATGTCACTTACAAGGATCATGTCGTGATAAACGCGAGGACGAAATAGTTTGTCCGATATGGAGAAGCAGCGGCACAGCGCGAGACTAAAGCTCGACCACGATAACCTTATGGTAGGTCGCACTGCACACAGTTCTTTGTAACGCACTCAAATGCAACAATATCAACTGTTAATAAGCGCTCGGCTGTACAAGCAACGCGCCTTTTTCCATTTTCTAGATATTCCTAGCTACTTTGTTATCCAGAAAGGGTGAGCTTATTTTCACTAAAAAGTATATTAGACTTATACTTGTGCATATATCCTCTGTTTTTGTTTTTTTTATTTTTTTATTTCAAAGATGCATTTCATTTACGCGCCAAATCCCTTCTGCCTGCAAGAATTCCTCAAACCTCAATTTTTTCAATCTTAGCAGTCTTGACCACATATTTTTGCTGTGTCACTGTTCCCTACCTGTGCACTATACTTGAGTAATTCGAAAGTTTTTCATCGAATGAATGAATATCGAATAAATTCGAAAACGAAAAATCTCGAATAAACGAATATCGAATAAATTCGAGGTTCAAAAATTCTCAAATGAATGAATTCCGAATAAATTCGGAAAATCAAAAATATCGAATGAATGAATATTT